AAAAAAATATGTATAAAATAAAGAAATTACAGAAATAATAAATTTATAAATATAAATTTATATGAAATTGATAATATAAATTAAAATTTGAAAAAAAAGAAATTAAGTTAATAATTCAAAAAAAATAATTTACTGGAATTAAATAAATTTTTGTAAAATAATTTACTGGAATGTTAAGTATATAATAATTTTTAACAGATATATTTTATTTAAAAATTGTGTATAGTGTATAATAAAAAATGAAAAAAAAATTTCTAGCGACAGAATTTATTTATATAAATGGAAATAATAAAAATACAAAAAAAAAAATGAATTACAAAATTTTTTAGAAAAAAAACTAGCACAATAAATCTGGAGGAAAAAAAAAGACCTAATAACAAAAAAAACAAAAAAATTTAAAAAAAAAAAAAAAAAAAAAAGGCTGGTGTCGCTATGGGCCATAGCGACACAAAGTTGTTATGGCCCATAGCGACATCAGTCTTTTTTTTTATTTTTAAATTTCATTTTTTTTTCTACCTAAAGTTGCTATGGGTGACAAAAAGTCGCTATGGCCCATAGCGACATCAACCTTTTCCTTTTTTTTTTTAGTTTTTTGTTTTTTTTTACCTCAGCTTTTTTTTTCAAAATTTTTGATTTTTTGGTTATTGAGTCATTTTTTTCTCCAGATTTATTCTACCAGTTTTTTTAAAAATTTGTTTTGTAATTCATTTTTTTTTTGTATTTTTCTACATTTTTTCCCTTCACTTATTTTTTGCCCAGTTTTTTTTAAATTTACATATATTTTTTTTAATACACTTAAATAATAAATTTTCTTTAAACTACACAATTAATTATTTTTAATTAAATTTATTAACAAATTACTGAAACAATTGCAGCCATGTTTAATTTTTTCTTCGTTTCCAGTTTTTTTGTTTTTCAGTTTTTAATTTTTCTTCGAATGTTTTATATCAGTTTTTTGAAAAATTTTAAATAAATAAATTTCAGAAAATTAAAATAAAATGTAAATATTATCCAGTTTTTTCGTTATTATTTTATTTACTTATTTTTTTGACAGTTTTTTTAAAATTTAAAATATTATAATATAATTTTATTTAAATTATTTAGTTTGTGTATTTTTAATTAAAAATATAAAAACGAAAAATTAAAAATAAAATGTGATTATATGCAAAGGAAGTGACAGTGTCCATAGCGACACTGCTTTTATTTTTTATTTTTCTTTTTTTTTTAATTACTCATTTTTCGTTTAATATTTTTTAATTAACATATAAAGAAATTATTAAATATTTAAATACATATTTAATTCGTAATATAAATATTTAAAGGAAAAAATATATAAAATAAACAAATTC